ACGGGGCTGTCCCTACCTGAGAGCTTCGTGGGCTCCCGGTAGTCCCCGCTCGTGATCTGCTTGACCAGAGTCTTGTAGTCGTGGCCGTCGAAGGGCATCGTGCCGTGGACCAGGATGTAGAGGAGGACACCCAGGGACCAGCTGTCCACCTGTGAAAGGGACACAGGAGCCTGCAGGGGACAGCAGGACCCCACCCCACCAGGATGGGGACACAGGGAAGGGACAGAGCGTGGGGCAGGACCCCAGCACTGCCAGCAGCCCTGCAGTGCCCGGGCTCAGGGGTTCTGTCACCCCAAAATAGGCTGGGAAATGCCCAGAGCGGGTCCCACAGCCCGGAGGGAGGCACAACCCACCTCGGGGCCCTTGTAGGGCCGCCCGTTGATGATCTCGGGGGACGCGTACAGGGGGCTGCCACAGTAGGTCTGCAGGAGCTTGTCCTGCTGGAAAACGTTGGACAGCCCAAAATCTGCAATCTAGGGGGGCAAACACAGCTGTCATCCAGCGGCAGAGTCCCCTTTCCCCAGAGAGTCCCCTTTCTCCAAGTCCCCTTTCCCAAAGTTCCCGTTTCCCAAGGCTGAAAGCTCCCCTGGAGCTCTCCAGGGATGAACCTGGTCCAAACCAGGGCTGCCCTTGGTTCTGAGTCCCCTCAGGGGTCACCCCCAGCCTGGTTTTCCACCCCCGAGGTCACTCCTGCTGCTCTCTGCCTCCCAAAAACCTCATGCCCGGCACGGCAGCAGCTCCCTGGAGGCGGGAGCAGAGTGGAAAGGTGAGGTCGGAAGGACTTCCAGGCTTTCCTCCAGCTCATTCCCAGCCACCCCAGGCTGCAGCGGTCCCTGTCAGCTCCACCTGCCACGGGTGCTCATTATCCTCATTACAGCGTCACCTCGCTCCCAGCAGGAGCTTCCGTGGCTGCCCCCGAGCTCCCCATTGCAAAATGATCCCCGGCGGAGATAAACCCATCCTCGGGGGATCCCCGGCTGAGGCCAGGCCGTGCCCTGGCGGAAAGCATTGCTCAGGGCCCGCGGGGGAGCTGGGGTTTCCTGGCTGGCACACACAGGAACCAGGAAAAGAGCCCTTCTCGTCGGGCCAGCCTTGATCTGGGTGCTCAGACTTTGCCCCCTTATCAGCAGGCTGCTATCAGTTATGGCTCTACCAGATCTGCCAGATGCTGCCAGCTTTTCCTGGGCAAACAGCGTTCCAGGTGCTGCCGGAGCTCTGGGAAGCCCTGGGGGGACTGAGGTGTCACCCCCTGTCCCTCCAGGCTGGGCAGCTCCCCCGGGTGACACCCCAGGCCGTGCCAGCCCCTCACCTTGATGTTCCCGTTGGCATCCAGCAGGATGTTCTCCAGCTTCAGGTCCCGGTGGACGATCCCGTTCTGCGGGAAGAGCCGGGGTGAATTCGTGGAGGTTTAGAGGGAGGGGAAGAGCCCGGCGCTCCCGGAGGTCACTGCCGGGCACGGGCACAGCAGAGGAGCCA